CAACACATACAGCGTTCGCATGAAAAATTCATGAGAACACTAGATATAAAATTACAGTTAGATAAGATAGAAATGAGATTTGTGGAAAATATGCCACCACCATCGTTAAACATATTCGATAAATTAGAACTATATGGAAAAGAACTAAAATCGAACGATAACGTTTTAAGTTCACTACGTGAACAGTGGAAAAGCATACTTAGAAAAACAAAACTAGACTTAACAGCATTAATGAGACAAGCTAAAGTAGCTGAACTAAAACAAATCAATGACGAACATCAAAAACTAGTACAAGAAATATCAGAACATCTACGTGAATCATACGACAAGATATGTCATGTATCACGAACAAGGCACGAGCAATTCGCAAAAAGAAAGTTGAATTTTTTAGCAAAAAGGGCGTGCACAATCAACGAAAACTAGTGCGCGCCCTATCACGACATCACCCAGGTTATACAACATCAAAACTTCATCCACATCATACAGCTATAAGTTTCCCGCCTCAGGCTAATAATAAAACAGAACTATTGAGAGATACAGAAGTAGGAATACTTAACTTAGGTCCAAGTTTCGTTCCACCAGCACCGGAGCAAGTATTGAAGAGACTCCCGAAAGAAATACAACAGATGAAAGAAAAAATCTCAGCAGCTTGGAGGAGGACAACAAAAACGATAGGACGAGAACCACCAATAGTAAGAAAATTCGGTGAGAGAATAGAAGAAGAAATTAAGAAAACTGTCGAAACAGAAAAAATAATAATAAAAGATACTACAATGAAACAAGCTATAGCAACATTTAGAAAAATCCAAAAATAAAAAAACATCATCTTCAGAAAAACTGATAAATCAAAAATATTCCATATAGACACGAGTGACAACTATATAAAGAAATCAGCTGCATATATGGAAAAAACCAATGCGTATACAGAAATAGAAGCATCTCCACTGAGAGAAATGATAGATAAAACAGATAGCTTCTTACGTAACCTAGTTTCGAGTAAGCAAATGCCACAATATATGCTAGAAAGATTACGACCATCGCAAAAAGAGTCAGAATTACCTCACCTTTACTACAATCCGAAGGATCATAAAATCGGAGAACCGTTACGACCTATAGTGAGCGGAATAAAATCTCCGCTGGCAAAGATATCTAGTTTTCTAGATCAAAATATACGACCAATATTTGACAAACACACTACCTATTCGCTTCCAAATTCGATAGTCTTTCTAAAACATCTAAAGAATTTTGAAACAACATCAGAAACACACATGTACACATTCGATGTTACAGATCTATACACAATGATTCCACAGAAGGAAGCAGTATTAGCAGTGTGCAAATTCTTAGGAAGACACGGATATAAAAAAATTCGAGGATTATCTATAAATACAATCAAAGCATTATTTTTACATGTATTAGAAAACTCTTATTTCGTCTTACAACTACCAGGATTAGAACCTAAATACTATAAGCAAACACGAGGAGGAGCTATGGGATCCGCATGTACCCAAGTATTAGCAGACATATACGTAAGAAAATGGGAAAGTGATTTTGTACAAAAGCAGCAGCAAGAAAACGAATTATATTTCAGATTCAGAGACGATGTATTTATCACTACGAGACTAATGCCACAACAAATAGAAAGTAGATTATCAGAACTAAAAAAGAAAGATGCTAACTTAAAAATAACATGGGAAGGAGGAAAAAAGGTAGACTACCTAGACGTCACAACAGAAATAGAAACTCCTAATTTTAAAACAACAGTGTTTCGTAAGCTAGCAGCGCAGCCATACGTGCTACCATTTCATTCATCACATCCTAAGCACATTACGAGAAATATACCACACGCGGCTGCTCTACGAGCAACTCGTATATGTTCACATCGTGATGATCTAAGAAATGAACTGGATAGAATTCGAATCATGTTACTTCTAAATAAGTATCCGCCAAGGTTCATAGATAAACAAATGGAACGTTTCTTTCAAGAAGTGACGAAAGAAAAGACAGGAGATCTACTATTGGGTATAGACCATCATAAATATCGAGAAAAAGTACTCGATCCCACATGAAATCAAAAAGAAAAAAAGAAAAAAGATTTTAATAAAGACATCTTAGCACATTTTACATACACACCATCTCTAACAAATTTTGGTGCCCGATTCCATTAGATATGGCAAGAGATATTTGAAGGGACACCACTCGTTGATATATCAGTCATGTATGCAAATCGATTAACAGACAGTTTAAGACACATATTAGTAAAAAAACGACCAACTAAAGAAGTAATACGACTACTACCAGCATCATCAGAATCAGAAAAAAAAGAATAAAAAAGATACAACTAACAATAATAACTGGTAGAAAAAACAAAGTGTAATCAATAGAAAGAAGAACTAAAAAAGTAAAAAATTACTAACAAAAAACGAAAACATTATTAACAACATATATAAATAAAAAACTACTAACCCGCATACTCTATTCTAACCATTATTTTTATCTCAATCTATTTTAATCAATTGTAAAACACACATATATCTTTCCCTTTTTGTCACTCTCTACTTTGACCCACCCTAATTGATTGTAAAACGCATAACCCTAATTGATTGTAAAACACATAACCCTAATTGATTGTAAAACACATAACTCACTTTCTTTAGCGGATAATTTTTCTCGTTATTTGTTATTTTTTATTATAACTAAAAATATCTTTATTGTAAACAAAATCCTCCTTCTATATATTATAACAGAAAATCGCTCAAATCATTGTTAATCTAACCCACTATTTGTAAAATCGTCTCGCCCCACTCCCATTATTTGTAAAAATTCTCGCCCCTACTCACATTGCTTCCACCCTATTGTACAAACAACATACTAACAGCAACGCATTAGATTACGTTAAGACATGAAAATGCATTAAAATATGAAAATACATAAAAATATGAAAATACATTAAAACGCATGAAAATACATTAAACTATATGACAATGCATTAAAACGCATTAAATTAAATGATAATGCATTAAAATAAATGATAATTCATTAAACTACACAATAATGCATTAAAGCACATTAGAATGCGTTAAAACACATTAGAATACATTAAAATGCATTATTAGAAAATCTGTAAAAACATCAAATGAAATATATTGAAATCACTTGAAAAATACATGGAAACACATATGAAAAAGAAACAACATCCTTATAAAACAAGCACCAAAAGCCCACCGAGAGGTGCTAAAAAAACAATTTAAAAAGAATGTATCATCAAACAAACAAATGTATATATATAAACACATTGCAAATTGCAATAAACAAAACAAGAACACATTGCTTTAATTGTAACAAATACAAACATAAACATGAACATTCAACCTCGTTGTTCCTGCAAAATTTTCTTTTTAATTCCTCTTTCTTTTCCACATATAATTAACTGAACTTCTTCAAAAAATCGCTTGAAAAGATACAATTCGAAAGGCCTCGCGTTAATAATATTGAATTTAATATTAAATATATTTTTTTCCTTATCCTTCTAATCTTTACCTTCATTATCTTTTCCTTTTCACTATCTTTGTTTCCTTTTTACTTTCCTCAAATAATAATAATAAATTTTTAAAAATTAATAAAAATTATATTAAAACTAATTTTTCTTTTTTTCTTGCTCAAACTACAATTATTCTATTTGATAATATCATGTCTATTTAAATTTGAAACATTTCTTGTTGACTTGCACAATTATAAAAGAATTGGAAAAAAATAAAAGTGGTTAAAATTCTTTGAGGTTCATGCGTTTCTTTTCAGTTTCGAACGCTGATTTTAAATATGGTCTTGGTTTTACTGAGTTCCAGATTATTTCGAGTAACATGCGAAAGATAAAAATGAAAAATAACATAAAAACATGTACATAGCCCGATATCTGTACCGTAATTTTTTGCGGCCAATGTTTTTTCCACAATTGTTTTGCATACAACACTAGATCTGATCAAGATCTAGTGAATGAGAAGTGTTAGAAGTTAAACAGTCGGTGAATATTAGGCGTATTTAAAACGTAACATAAGGTTAAATCCTCATGTTGAGTATTAAAGTTCTACCTGTCTGTGCCTACAAAACATGTAATATATTGAACAGATTTTGCTATAAAGCAGTTTGTGGCATCGTTTTTGATAATTTTGGTAGAGAAAATCCAGATTCCTACAGGGGGCCGATTTTAGCTCTTAACGCCACCCGTCCGTTTTAGCCTGAAATCACGATTATTTGCTGAGAAAACTACAAATATGTCATATATGATCTTATGCCAGTGAAACAAAAATTTATTGTAGTGTTCATTTCGATAGTATTTCGTATTTCATTTTAAATCTTGTATAATAGATAGTTGTTTACTGAGGATAGACTGTAAAGGAAACATCTTAAGATGTCGTCCTCTACAGTCTATCCTCAGTAGACAACTATCTACCCTAGGCAAACTTTTTTCTCATGCGCTTGCACCTGTGCATACCGCAAGATGTGCCCTGGTCTCTTGACTTTCTTGCTCATAGACAAGCGCTTGCGTAATCGCACGGGTCATGCGCGTGAGTCAAGAAAGTCATGCAGATGAGTAAGTGAATGATCTATCGCAATGCAAAACGACGGCTTTTCTCCCGAAAAGCGGGTTTTGATCCAGCGTTCCTGAGTTGCTTGACTGTGCTGAGGACTGTAACAGTTCCATATCCCTTCAGTTCTTAGAAACTGGTCGACCAGTTCCAGTTCCAAGGAACTGTAGTCGAAAAATTCGATGTCAATATTGAAACGTCAAATTTTGAACAGGTATCCGGACCACTAATATAAGCTTGCTGGGAAAATTTCAGAGCTCTATATGCTGCGCTTCCTGAGATATAAATGTTGAAATTTTTCGTAAATAACGATTTTTTTTATCTTGCCACTGCAAAAATTGATTTCAATATTGAAATGTCAAATTCTAAACAGGTATCCAGACTGCGAATATAAGCTTGCTGGTAAAATTCCAGAACCCCATACAGCGCGCTTCCTGAGATATAAATGTTGCAATTTTTCGTAAATACATTCAGTTAGGCCAACATCTAGTGAAACATATAATATTACGCTGCGCCGTTGCCAGCTCATCAGACGACATCGCCATTATAGTAATATATGTTCAAAATCACTGTATTATCCAGAAAGTTGGAAACTCAATATCTCTGAACAGAAAGCTATGAGCCGCATCATTTTGAAATTACTATCTTGAGGGGTGGTGTGAGAATTAAAAGATTCAAACAAAATTTTTCGACAAAAGAAATTTTTTGAAGAATTTGCGCAATAAGCTACCACGACGTTTCTCAATGTTGCTTAAAGTTCTCCTCAGGCGGCTTTTCAAACCTTTGCACGATTTATCCAATTTCAAATTTAAACGGAGTAAATTCATTTCAAATCAAAAATAAAACAATTAAATCAGCAAAGGATTCGTTCCTCTGTTTAAGGACGAGGATGCGAGTCTAGTTATTGCTATCATTCTCTTAAAGCTGATATAGGCTCCAGATCATAAGTTCAAAGTGTTGATCTATCAGTTATTCTTGAAGCATTCGTTCGTAAAGGACCACATAAATTAAGTGCAGAATTTGAATGTAAAAAAACGTTTACGGCACTTTGATTATTAAGATCATCGTTTAACAAAAGCATTCATTGCTTTAACAAATCCGAGGCAATTCAATTTTCATACAGAAATTGATCGAGATACTCGCTTCCACGTAGAATAATCTTTTAGTAAATGCAGTTACTGACCTTTTATTTCTATTCTATCGATTTTTCACCGTACTTCCTTGCTCTACAGTTAGATAGCGAATCGAATCTCATGTCCACCTGTATAATGAATCACGTTACTTTTTCGTTCTGTAGCACGTAGTATGCATTACATGCGAGATAAGGATAGGAAGCTTCTTGATTTTTCTGTTGAATACGTGTCTATTTTGCTTATCGCGGCTCATCAGTATAAAAGCGACCAAAATTATCAGATTGCTTGAATATTTTAGATGTCGTCAGAAGAAGCCAGTATAGAAGATAGCGTTGACTCATTCAGTGAAGTGAGTTCTTAGGATGATGATTTTGCTAGAATGTACTTCTTATCTGCAAGTTCCGACGAAGAAGTCACTGATGATGAGATGAATTCAAACGTCTGGAGTGAAATAGAATCCGAATCAGATGGTGAATTTCTGGAAGATCATGGAATTGTTGAACAAGTAACGCCAACTTCTGAAGATGATACAATCAATCCTATCGATTGTTATCGACATTTTTATCACTGAAGAGGTTGTAAGCCTTATGGTTCGCGAAACTAATAGATACGCAGAACAATACTTACTAACACATAAACCTAGCAAACGATCGAAAAATCTTCAATGGGAACCGACTACTAACGAAGAAATGCTGAAATTTTTGGGGATAGCCATCGAGATGGGTTCAGTGCAAATGCCAAAAGTAGACTATTACTGGAGCAAAAGTCAATTGTATGGATCAAAGATTATTCAAAACACAATGTCGAGAGACAAATTTGAATCGCTCCTCAAGTTTTTACATTTTTCGAACAATGATGAACAGGATGCAAGTCAAGATAGACTAGCAAAGTTGAATCCACTTTTACACTTATTGAAAGTTAGATTCAAGTCAGTTTATATACCTGATTCTGTCATTACCACTGACGAAACATAGTATCGTGGTGAGGTCGACTCTTCTTTAGGCAATACGTTCCAGGCAAAGCCCACGAATATGGCGTTAAAATGTACAAAGTAGCAGATACGAATGGATATACTTGGGATTTATGATTTATACAGGAAAACAGAACCCAATGATTAGCCTTGGACATTCTCAAATAGTCACCATGGAATTATTAGAAGATCTTTTCGGGTGCTATTGAGCTGTAGTAGTTGATAATTTTTCTGCAGTATTGCTCTCGCCAAACGATTGTTGGAAAATGATACCTACCTCATTGGAACATTGAGAAGTAACCGTGTTGGTTCCGGAAAACAAGTTGTCCAGAAACAACTCAAGAAAGGTGAGATTTATGGACTACAGAATGGTGATGGTATTAAGTTGATCAAATGGAAAGATAAAAGAGAGGTTCTGATGATATCTACCAAACCATCGCATACAACAGCTCTCGTAGACATCAGAAAAACTACTCCATCTGGGGAGCGTATCATGAAGCCACAAGTGGTAGTCGACTACAATAAAGGAAGACAAGGAACAGATTTGTCGGATCAACTGTCAGCGTACTACACATGTCTAAAGCGATCTGTAAAATGGTATCAAAAGATGGCGTTTGAATTGATATTTGGAACATCAATAGTGAATAGCTATTTGATATACAAGGAAAACTATACAACAAGCAACATAAACATCTTACAGTTTCGTGAGAGTCTTGTGCGATCTTTACTCCTTGGTTCATCATCCGAAAATCTGAAACCTGGTTCGGGACAACAGTCAACAAGCCAAACGAAGTACAAACTTGTTGATCATAAGCTGGAAGAAATAGAAGAATCTGCGCGCAATATTCGCAGACGCTGCACTGGTTGCTATGAACAAGGAAGGAAACAACAATCAAGAGAAGCGAGCTATGCGGCAGCTAAGAAAGTAAAAACTTTCTGTTCTGAATGTGAGAAATGTTTTTGTCTTGAATGTTTTAACAAGAAGCATCATGTTATGACATAAAGAAATAAAAAATACCGGGTAGAGCAGATGACATATTACATTTAACCTCTTGCCTAAGAAAAAAGCAAAAGAAATTGTTTTTCTATACAGTTTCTTCTCACAATACAGCGTGGCCCACCGGTGGGCCACATCACCTCGAATGTGTTAACTATAAAATCATTGACTACGATCTTCCGAGAATATACTTGTTGAGTCTTAATTCTTTTCCAAACACCAAGGAATTTCCTATGTGTGAATCACCGTTTCACTCTAAAGTATCAGAGTATAACAGAAACACTCTTAATAAACAATGGAGATAATTCCACGCAGCTATTTTCATTTCTTTCCGGCTTTTTTCTTTATCGCTTTCACATTACAGGTAAGTGATACAAGTATGACTGACAGGATGCATAAGTGAGCAAATATATAATTTTACCTGTGTATCTTTTCGTTTTATTCATATGGAGAACATGATGACAGAATTATTAATCTAGTATTTTTCATCAAAAAAACTTCCAACTATACCAATTCGTCTCATTCATGGGGAAACATTCTGTTACATGAGAAAATATAAAAAGACCACACATTTTCGTTTCTTTCTATCACTAGACTGTTCTCATAATGCCCATCGATATCGTATTCATCAATCGATTGTCTCAGACAATAAATCTTGTAAAAACAAGAAATAACAGACCATCGCGACAAATAGCGAATATTCATCCTGGGTATGTCAGACAATTAGGATGGAATATAAATGACAATATTTTCTTCTTTTAGTGGATCGGTTTCTTGTAGTTTACCAGACGGATGGTCTGGTAACTTTCGTCATGCTGGTGGTACCGGTGGTATTACCCTCTTTGAAGTTTCTGTTAGGGCAAACGACAGAAATGTCTATTATGACCTCAGCGTCATTGATGGGTTCAACGTGCCAATGAAAGTGCGAGCACCGGATGGGTAAGTTGATTGAATTGATAGAACTAAATAATTATTTTCTTCGTATAGGACACGTCTAAAAGCCCTGCATAGACGTGCACGAGACGCGTATCTATTTCCTGCAGATAATTCCAAAACACATGCCAGTCGTGCAGGAAAGTTTATTGTTACTTTCGAACGATGAACTACTAATCATGATTTCTTTTTCATTGCTGTATATAAACATGATAAAAGTTTCCTACTTTTAAATATAATTTACATCATGTTTCATTCTGATAATATTATGTTTGTTAGTTTCAGATCAAAAGTAAAGTTTTTTTCAGTAGAACGAAACTCAACACAGAGAAGTTTATTTTTGAAATACAAAATATCGATATACAGGAATAAGTAATTTCAACTCTATTCATATTAATGATCGATAAGACAGCAGTGTATCTGTAGATTACTATGGTGAATACAATCAATGCTATAAATCGAAGTGGCAAAACAGTAAAATTGGGTTTCTTCCGAAATCATGCTGCTTTTCGTCCATCATTTGAAGCGGAAAAAACTATTCTATTGAGACGAAATCAAAGTCTATCAGTAAGACTTGACAATGGATGGGAAGGTCGTGTGCAAAGAATAACTGGTGCATCAAATGATCCTGCAACATGGGCTGAAGTTCATTTCAATGCATGGCATAACATGACTTTTGCAGATATCAGTTTTATACGAGGATATAATGGCTCCATGGTTTTTTCTACTAATGATGGCTCTTTACATACCGGCACAAGAGATAATCTATACAGAGGTGCCCCATATCGATGCAAACGAAGAGATTCAGGAGGGAATTATGTTCTCGATGCTACGGAACCATACGGTGGTGGACAAAATGGTGAGCTAATTGCTTACTATCGTTCTCGAGTACCAACAGGACATGGTTATATTGTTCCCAACGACCATGCTAGCTCACATGGAACAAGACGTACGGACATCAACCTTAAAATTTATTAAAATAGTTTTTCTGTCTTGAATTTTGGTAATTAACATATTCGAGGCGACTCAGTTTTCATACAATAACCGATTGAAATACTTGTATTGACAAGGACTTTACTTTAATACATGTACTTGCTGACTTTTTCTATTTGTTCTATCGATTTATTATATTAGAGAATCATAAACGAGATACAATAATCTATACAGAACTTTGTAGAGTAAATAATAGCATTAATTTATGTTTGTGAATACCTAATATTGAATCAAGTACTTTTTAAATAATTGGAATATCCTGTCTTTTAGTCACCGTGGAGGTTTTTGGTTTGTTGAGGACGTTTTAATGTTAGATATGATAATGTTTTATCTAGAATAAAATGAAAATGTTTTCAGATGATTACATAGTGAAGAAATGAAAAATTTATATGCTTTTGTTGTTTGAGGGAAAAGTAGAAATTTATTTCAAATGGTTATAGATTGAAGTAACACAGAATCCTATATGCTATATTTAAACCTACAAAATAAATACGGAGAAAGAACCGAATTAGTTCATGATGGTTTTTTTGTACTGCTATTCTTGGTAAAGAGATTACGTCGAACACGTTCTTTGCAAATGTTGGGATTGTTTCGACTACCAATGATAAGTTTTGTTGTTTGAACTGGTATATTATGAAATGTATCATTCCATATTCGATGAAATGCTCGTTTATAATGTGAAAAGCGTTTTTCATGTGTGTAATGAATATTAATAGAGTTGACTCTTTCTCTTCTTTTCATTAGCCCTTTCAATCCCGTCATTTTCTTGCGTTCTGTATGAAGAAGAAAAAAGAAGTTTAATCCCTCTCTTTTGCGTTCTGTCGTCACGATCAGCTGTATTTGACTCTATATATATTGAAGTTAATATACATATACACTGTCAAATATAGAATGCCTATATGAATTTTCAAATGATATTCTAGAAATGCCAATACGAATTCAGTGATAAATTTCTATTTTTTCGAATATAAAATCCTGGTATTCAAGTTTAAATTTAATGCAGGAAATTGTTACAATCTTCTTCTTTATTTCGCGTTCTTCTTCTTATTATCTTTTCGCCAGAAATAATCCCGCTTCTTAAAACATTAACACTCACTTAAATAGAATAGATAAGAGAAGAAGAATGGAATGATTGTAAAGGTGATAGAATGAAACAGAGAGAAGAAGAGTGAACATACTTATGACAGAAGAGAGATTCACTGACATAACAGAAATCAAATTGAATTTCAATTATTGAGAAAATCAAGCATTGTCTAAATAATAGAAATTTGATAAATGGATGATAAAAGTTTGAATACTTTAGTTACTAAAGTTGATTTTCTACAAAATAGAATTTAAAACAAATTACAGTGTAAACCCATTTTGGTGTCATTTAGAACCTTCGTCTTTTTCTTAGAATACAACATATGATATACGTCGTCGAAGAAGACGACAGAACGAAAACAAATTGTTTCGTATTCTTCATGCCATCTACGAGATGACATGCGGGATTGAAAAGGTTAATTTTGCTTTGACTAATGGGTGGATAATGGAAGGGTGAGGGTGAGGGTGGGTGTCCTTTTTATTCTCACACTCACCCTCACCCCTAAAACGACATTTGGAAAAAGGTAATTATAACATTCGATCGAGCTTGAAAGTTTCTATTGGTCTCTGTCGAAGACACCTTTCCTATCACATTCCCAATAATGGAGTTTATCTCTGATCCATCTTTTAATCGATAGTACGAGTGTTAGTCACTGTACTCTTCCTTTCCAAAGCATCATCAGATGAATGTTTCGACCAACAAAGCGATCATTTGAGAAGGTGTACGATGAAAAAACTAATCCTTTGGAAGCTATGGTATCATATGATACTTTAACGTTTCTCTGTCATCAATCTCCAGTGTCTGTTTGTCTATTACCGGGTTAAAAGTCAAAGGTCAACATAGCATTAAAAATAACCGAAGTTTGACCAAAGATATTCGGGAGTGGGGAATCTAAATGCATGACCAGTTGTTCGAAATTCGGAAGTTATTTTTTTAGGTAAAGAGAAGGCTTTTTGATGAAAGGACGATCTCTATAGTATGTCGTAGGTCTGTTTGTCTGCACTCTAAAAAAAATCGGTACTCTACCGATCCTTAATAGTTCCGCATTTCTCCACCGAACGATTTTAAGTTCCGTAGAGTGAAAAACGTTCCGTGGTCTCCTTTCAGAACTATTTTAAGTTCAGCAGATTTCATCAGGTTTCGCAATTTTGCGTCTGAACTCTTCGAAGGTTCCGTAAAGTGGTTTGTGGTTTCGTCATATACCCACGGAACCACTGTTGGCTTCGTGGACAATCTGAAGGTTTCGCATTATTTGTGCCGAACTCTTTGGCACTTGCTACTCGGCTTTAATGTTTCGTAATATGTCCGCGGAACCATTGTTGCTTCTGCAGACGATCCGAAGGTTTCGTATTATATATGCGGAACTTATCGACACTTTCTGGTCGGCATTAAGGTTTCGTAATATATCCACGGAACCATTCCTGGTTCCCTAAACGGTAAAATGGTTTGGAATATTTTCTGGAAAACAATCGCTGGTTTCGTAGAACATTCGAGGGTTTCGTACTTTTTGAGTTGACCGATTTCCAATTTATTATCTATGTCAAAGTTTCGTATATTTTGTGCCAAACCACTGAAAGTTTCGTAGACACTCTCGAAGTTTCGAATCTTTTCCACAAACCAACTGATATATTTGCTCATGATCCAAAATTTTTGTATTATTTCTACCCAACTTTTCACCCTTTCTAGTGTGCTTTAAGGTTTTGTAAAATACCGACCAAACCAGCGCTCATTTCGTCGACTCTCTCAATGTTTCTTAGTTTTTGCAGTACACTTTCAACAGGCTCATTATATATGTCAAACTATCAACACCTTATTGGGCTACCAGAGCCCAAATCCGTTATAAGTTTTTGCATCCGAACTTTGGTGGCTGCGAAAATTGGTCGATCCGGAGTCCAAATTTCACATGATAGACTTTTTATTTCAGCTCTGATCTAAATTCTGATCAAAGTTTCCTATAGCTTATCGGGGCCCCTGAGTCCAAATCCGTTATCAGTTTTTCTCTCCGGACTTTTATGGCTGAGAAAATCCGCCGATCTGGTGTCCAAGTTTCACATGTTTCACGTTTTATTTCAACTCTACCGTCAATTATGGGGTAAGTTTGATGCGATGAAAGAGAATATTTTTTTTCTTTGTTATTGATTCATGCGTATAGAAGGTTTTAGGTCAATTTTATTGCGTAAAATAACAGAAATATATTCTGTTTAATTGTAGAAGACCTCAAAGAGGGAATTTCAGGTGAGTTTGATCGTGTATAATTTAATTTATTTGATTTTTTTTGTTCTAGGTTGATGCTTATACGTAGTTTTAGGTAAGTTCTCTCTTAGCAAATCAAAGAATTATTCGTTTTTGTAACTTAATTCTAGGTTAATTTAGATATGGAGTTTTAGGTAAGGCTGATTTTGAGAAATAATAAATTTTTGCTAATTTGTTTATGTTAGGTTGTGTCTGTAACGATTTTTGATAGAAGAGATACCTGTGCTGATGGTATTACACTTTATTTCACTCTTCAAATCATAAAATCGCATCGATTACATATAAAGCACACGTTTAAATACTCAACCATTTGAGAGAACGAAGGAGAATGAGAGATAAAGACAAATATCAAGGACAGAAAGATAAAGGCAATATATGTGATGAGAATAAATGTCACTTTAAGGCCAAATACCATGCACAGACCACACTCGAACAGGGGCGTTACACTCCCACGTGGAATTTAGACGCTCTTCGCATTTATCGTTACAGTGTCAAGTAAAAGAATAGTGGAGTAAGTTTGATCCTATAAAATGATTGTATTTATTCGTTTCTGTATTTTAGGTTGTGTCAAGTAAAAGTATAGTGAAGTAAGTTTGATCTTATAAAATGATTGTATTTATTCGTGTCTGTATTTTAGGTTGTTTCAATTATGGAAATCACGGGTGACTTTGGCTTTAACCCTCTGCTGTTGCCCGCGGTATGCATACTATTCGAGTATTTCTCAAAACCCGAGTATGGTATACATCAAATGAATCAAAAGTAAGATGAAATAGTCTTTAGAATGGTTTTCTTTGAATGCAGAAAATTACTCTGTAGACTATTTCATCTTACTTTTGATTCATTTGATGTATACCATACTCGGGTTTTGAGAAATACTCGAATAGTGTGCATACCGCTGGCGGCAGCAGAGGGTTAAATGAAATTTTTAACGGAACCTTTGTCGGATACGAAACCTTTTTTTGAATGATTTCTACAAGGTTTTGTACGAAACCATTGCTACGAAACCCTTTTTTTGAATTTTCGTGAAGGGGGTTGATACGAAACCTCACTTTTACAAAACCAAAAAAGGATTTGACGGTGTACCGAGGATAAGAACCTTTTTTAGGTTCCGTAAAAAACCTATTTTTTTTAGAGTGTGCTACTAGATCAAAGACCAAGAATCAGTTTATTCTATTAGGTTTTCTATACCAATCAGGCAGCCATTCAGCATTTCAGAAGACTAAAAAATCAGTCCAACCGTTTTCTGTGTTGTGAAAATTTGTGAATCCGACGTTTACACGTTCATCAAATCAGTCAATTGACTTCTCCTCTTTTCTGAAAAGAGGTTTCATGTACGGATATCTTCCCCTATGCACATAACTGGTAATAGGGGTACAATAGAATTTAAAGCCTAGTGTTTGGTTAGATAGCGTGTCAGAAATAACAATCTATATTGGTAGGAGTGCGACACCTTCACGGAGTATATCGCATGTACATAGATAAAGAAGAAAATATATGTAACTTAGAGACATAAACAATAGAGAAAGACCTTATATCCAACTAGATATCTGTTAAAGAATAGTCTTAAAACAGCTGTTAGAACAATCCTTTTGGCATATAAAAGTGTGAAACACAAATATGCGGTTCGTTTAAAAACAAAACCAATATGTTTGCTGTAATAATTCCAGAGAATATGAAAGCTTTTTTCTCATTGAAGTCACTTTTTGAGACACCATCTATTTTCAATCGTCGGGTTTTTTCTCATAAGAGGAAGAAAAAGTTTATATAGGTTACTTTTTCTTTCATCAAAAGAACAAATATTTATACAAAGATTGTTTCGAAAAAGGTGAATCAGATCAATGTGTGAGATAGTTAGTCATTTTCGAAAATTGGAAACTTCCGAATTAAAAAAAAGACATATTCAATTTAAAATAGCAATGTTACCTTTTGTTTTTTTTCTATTCGTTATCTTTTCAAATATACCTACGTAGGGTCGTCAAAAAGTTCTCGTACTTCTCCATATCTCTTCAAGAAAACAACATTTCATTCATCTAATAATGCGATGTAGTAGAGATACCCATCGTGATGTTCCATGAGAAGTTTCATCGTTTCAGCTCTTTCTTTAGTTATTTTATGAAGCGAACAACATGTCTGAAAATTACCCTTTCAGTTATTAGCGTAAATTTACTGAGTTTCTCAGCCCTTGTAAATTCAGAAAGGTTTCACATGGTATTTAGGTTTTGTGAGAAATTAGCAGTGAGCTACAGATTGAGATCTGGCGGAACATTGAATGTGTAAAATAACTTTCAAACTTCAGAATATCACAACGAACTCCGTTTCCAAGCGAAATTTTGTCAAAAACGATGAGATTTATGATTTCTTTGCGTGATATTTGATTGTTATTCATTGCCAATTGTTGCCTATAGTTCTTAGTAATCTTGTCTGCATTACTAATGCGTGTTTCAACTAGTTCATAGAGAAATAACTGGAGATGAAAAGATTTTCATAATCTAGCGGCAGCGGTTCATCAGCATGGTTTTGCAGAACCATGCCAAGGTGCGCTGCGTTTCACTAGGAAAGGCGAGAATCAAGTAACATTGTGTGAATTATTCTCTCCTCGATCTAAGGTTTCAGATCTATAGTCGTTCAAGGATACTCGGTGTGCAGTTAACAATCACCAGCTCTAAAACGTTAACGCGGGAAATAACCGAAGGGGTCATTTTCAGACATGTTGTTCGCTTCATAAAATAACTAAAGAAAGAGCTGAAACGATGAAACTTCTCATGCAACATCACAGTAGGTATCTCCACTACATCGCATTATTAGATGAATGAAATGTTGTTTTCTTGAAGAGACATGGAGAAGTACGAGAACTTTTTGACGACCCTATGTAGGTATATATACTGTCATTATGTTAGTAGAAGAAATCAACATAAACTTTTTCAAATAACTTTTTTAAACTTTCAATCGATAACAATGTCAGGAGCAGGTCAGTATTTACAGAAAAATCGCTTCTTACTCAACACATTATTAGTTGGATGTTTTAGCGGTGATTAGATCTCACAATCGATACCGCCAATCAGCTAACCTAGCACCACTTGCTGCTAGTCAGAGATTAAGAAATGCAGCTCAATCTCATGCCAATCATATGGCACAAACTCGACAAATGTCACATCAGGAGAACGTCAATGGGCGAGGAACTGTGGGCGAGCGTGTTACTCAAACAGGATTTAGATGGTCGGCGGTGGCTGAAAATGTTGCCGCTGGACAAACAACAATCAATCAAGTAATGACAACATGGATGAACAGTCCCGGTCATCGAGAGAATATTTTAAACGGAAACTACAAACGCATTGGAGTTGGTATTAGTCGAGGTGCAGATAATCTTCTTTATTGGTGTGCTGTTTTTGCGAGATAGAAATCATTTGATCAAATTTATTCAAGAATTTTGCCTCTCAGATAACGTTCGAGAAAGAGTCAACTTTGATTAATTTCTTCATTAATAAAAGAAAAAGAAATTAATCTTGGTAAAATCAAATCTATTCGATTACCATTCTTTTTGGAAATATTCTACTTGTTCTCTAACCCCTATTCAAAGAATGGAATGAATAGAAGAAAAGAAGAAGAAATCACATTTATCAAGATCCTCCAGCAGCAATATTTAGAATGACGAAGAAATTTTTATTAAAAGGCCTAATCCAGAGATATAGAAGATGGATACAGAAAAGGGTTGTCCCATCCATGTCTACCTTTTCCCTAAAGCAGAACGCGTTGTTCAAATGGATTCTGTTCATTTCCAAGAAACATTTGAAGTTTATCAGGATTCCAATCCAAATTATAAACTTTCAAATTGTCACATGCATCATCCACAGTAACACTATGGGTTGGATGGCAAGTTTTCATATAATTAAATTGTACTATGTGAACACTTGAAACACTTCTAATCGGATCAAAACCAACTTGTTCCATCGCATCTATTTCACCAGTATCTGGCCAATGTTTACTACCATAACATTGATCTCTAGGAAGCTAGTCAGAGAGTCTTTATTAAACAACTCAATACTTATGATCAATATAGCTGATCATAAACATTTGCCACTTGATAATTTAGCTTTAGTCTAAAAGGTTTTATCGACATCAAGAAGAGAAGTGTATATACGAGGTGATATCACTAAAAGATGCTAATATATGACCTGCATCCGGCCAGAACCCGAGCTTAATCGAACCTGAAAAACTGATTCGATTCAGTCTCTGGTTTGTATAGTATCCATCCAGTCACCAGCCCGTCGTAGGGTAACTCGACTCTTTCTCGCCAGGGTCTCTATTCACTGGACATATCTTCTAAAGAGTGCAAGTAACGCATCTTTTGAAATTTCGATACTTAGCTTTATTTGGATAAGTCACCGCTTAAACTCGTGACTAGCTCATTTGATTGAGTATCATCTTCAGGTAGCTAAAAAACGCATGACCATCCAAGACATCATTAAAATCTCCGTGGGCTGTAAAAAATTTTGCAGATTTTTCTTGCTGCAAATGATTTTTATTTCTAAGACAAACATCACAAATAATAAACTTTTACCCCGCCGTCATGTAACAGCAAGTCATCCTAATCTAAAATCCTACAAAAAAACCTCGAAATCGTTAAAAAGAAAATGTAGTTTGTTTGTTTTTACAATAAAAGAATCAAATCAAATTTCAGCGATGTATTGGAAGAGATTTTGTTCTGTTGGAAAATATAAATCAATAACATCTACTAATAAGATAGTACTATCTATGCTGATCAGAGAGATGGATTTTATTCTTCATTTTTCCGTAAGTAAAGTTTATTTGTAGTGAGATACTCACAGTCACATCCAATGGGCTGAAGAAGTGAATAATGAAGTTGATCGATGAAGAGAACTGGCTGTTTCGTCTGTTCTGAGAAATGAAGAAGTGATCGCATGAATCAAAGAAAGATCAGAAAGAATAAACATTTTCTCATACTCATAATTAGTGAATTTCGATGTATACTGAAATACTGAAAAATCGATGTTTAGTTGGATATACAGAGAAACAACACATCTGTATCTTAAGTTACGAAGATTCGAAATGAAATTTTGTTTTGATTTGGATTTTGTTTCACTTTGATGATGAAGAAAGATGAAAATATGGAAGAAGAAAAGTAGAACGTTGATGAGTTGATATCGTGTTGATTGTCTGTCTGTCTATCTGAGTTAATGATCGATAGAATGTGATGATGATGATAATGTAGACAGATGAATATCGTCTGAGAGAAATCAATGATTAGGATTCAAATTCTAAAATAGATCAGAACAATGATTGGTGTAGAAAGAAAAATGTCGAGAAGATCTGATAGAAGCAGACTAAACAATGTTCAACTAAGATCTGATGAACATATTTCTTTATTCTGAACAGTTCTCTTTCAAATAGGAAAGATAAGAGATGAACTCCATTGAATTCTCTTTTTCTTCTATGAGAAAATGTTCAGATCAACGTTAAGAATTGTTTTTTTTCGAATGTTCGAAGAAAGAATATGACTCAATGAAGAATAACATTTTGTCTGCAACCGAGATACTTTACGGATTGTTTTATTAGATTCTTTTTTAGTCAGATTTCTGTAGTGATTATAGAGTTTCGTCGAATTTGATTGAGCTCGATGAGAATGGATAAATGAAGATTGAAAGAGTAGTTCATTGTCATTTCTCCTATGTAGACTTTATTCCCTTTTCTGAAGGAAAGGGTCTAGGACACAAAAATGTTTGTGTGTCTGTCTGTCCAACCAATCGGAAACGAGGTTTTGAGAAAACTCTGTAATATGTTATCGAGTGCGGAGAGCTCGACTCTGAGGTCAATTTTTATATTTTTTTAATATTCGAGTTATTCAGTAGCATACCCTTTCCCTCCTACATAGACCAAGTGATTCTACACTCGATATACTTCCTTGCCATGGCTAATATACAAACTAACCGTTACTCTGTTCAACGATTTTGTAGTGGTAGTGAGATGGGAACCATGTATTCACATGAAGTAGAGGAATGTCCATGGATTTTCATCAAATGTTTGTTCGTCATACACGACATTTTCTTCAGAAAAAAAGTGTTCCGTTGTGGGGAAGCCTAACATTTTTGTATAGTTATCTTGATTGATCAAGAAAGGACTCAAACGCCCAGGACTAGTTTCGCCAAGTGATCAAACATTCAACATAAATTAAACCATGCCTGGTTGTTACACCCCCGAACAAGTGTTTTTTTCTTTCTATGCTACCGTACTTTGTATTAAATTTATTACTGAGTAGAGATACGACTTACGAGTTTTATTGCAGCACGGTGTACAGATCACACTGAAATAAAACTCTCATGTCATATCTATATCTGTGCTTGGTAATAAATTCGATGCAAAGTATGATAGCATAGAAACAAAGAGGGAGAAAGACTTTTGCTCGGGGGTGTAAGTAGAATCACTTGTTAAAATACATGAGAATTGGGTCGCTGTTACTTTGGGTGTGGGTGTGACCAGCTACCATTATCCATAGATTTCATCCTAACCAAAGGAATCATCAGATGGCAATTTATTCTAAATAATTTTTCGACAAAAATCACAAGAATATTTTATATCTGACTTATATATAAAATTAAAAATAAACTCATATATATAAGTTGATAAATTCGAAAAACTGTAGTGTGACCAGCTACCATGATCTATAGATTCGTTTTCCCATGTTTGAACGTTCATTTTTTTTTGATATTATTTGTAGAGATATATCTGAAAAGAAAAGAAAGTTAGAAGTTGATTGGAAATTTGATTGGATTAAATTCCGAATCAGTCGAAAAATTTGTATTTATTTTATAGGATGTATGAATAAATTATTGATTTGAATTTATTTTCGAAATGTTTATGATTCTTCTTTTATTATTTGGTGGATTAATCGTCCGAAGTGGAGAAACTTGCTTGTCATTGATATTCGGTCGATACAGGCTCGGTGATAGTTGTAGTTTGCTGTACGTTGATTTTGGGTGTTTGGAGTTTTTCTAAATAATAGTAGTAAAGGAAGTGTTTTACACTTTTTTTTTATAAAGAAATGATATAAATAGTTTTTTGTTGCAGGTGTTCGACTTACTTTTGGTTATTGTTGTGGTTTGTAATAATGTTTTATTTGGTCGTTTGCGTATCAGTTCATTGTGTGCTTGACGACGGATGCGGTCGACTACGATTAATTTTGTGTACACTGCTGGTGTATCTTTAAATGTATCGTGGTATACTTGATGCATATCTCGTTTGCATGTTTTGAAACGTTTTTCATATGTATAATGAGTAAAGAAGTTTTCGTTAATGTTTGAGATTTTTTCTTCAGTTTTTTTTGGGTCTGGGTTTGGTTGTTGTCTCTCATCATCATCTAGTGGATCGTTGTCAATGTCAGCCAATGCTGCACTCATTGCCACTTGTGTTTGCCGAGGTGTTGGTTGACCTAAGATTTGTTTTCGCATAAGAAAATATTTCCGTTCGTCATCAATTAATGGTAGAAATGGTGGTTTTGATATATATTCCGAAAAATATTTGTGAAACTCATTTTCAATAAATGTTGATGGGTATCTAAATAATGTACGATTGAAATAGAATAAATTTTTGAACAAGATTTGAAATGAAGACTTACTCATTGTATAGTAACATCAATTTAATGGAAGGTCGCTCATAATTAAATGCTTCGAATGTTGATGAATATTTTGTTGCACGTTCAATAAAAGATTTGATAATATTTGAAAAAACATGTCGAGGATGATCAGATGTAAATGGTGTAACATATGGTTCAGCTGCAGGTTTATGATAGACACATGTTGAGAGTATGCCATTATTATTTGTAAGTTGTACATCAAGAAATGGAAGACTATTACCAATTTTATAGTCTAATTTAATATTTGGATGCCATGTATTCACATCGTCTAATAATTTTCTTAATTCTT